TTGTAATTGTTGATATTTATCCACTAAAGGCCTTACCTTATTCATAACAATTAATGTCCTCCCTACTTCACAATGAGCAGCTAGGTGACGGACAATAGAGCACTAGGCCTAGAGTCAGGATTGTTGTTTGTTTGTTGTTTGTCCTTCATTCTGGAAGAAGACCAATGATATCGTGAGGATGATGTCCTGACTTTCAAGTGTATTGGATTTAAGTGAGGCAGAGATACACAAAGTCATTGGTCTCAGAGTCAGGAAGACCTGAGTTCAAATCTGGCCTCAGACACTAGCTTTGTGACTCTGAGCAAGTCACTTAACTCTGTTTTCCCATAAGCAAAATGAGCTGGGAAGGAAATGGCAAACCATTCCAATATCTTTGCCAAGAAAACCCCAAATGGAGTGACAAAAAAATGACAAAACAACAACAATACAATACAATCCTCTTATTTTAAAATTGAAATTAAGGGTCTTGCTCAAGGTCATGGACATACTAAGTGATGCAACTGAAATTTGAACTTAGGTCCTCTAGATCAAAGACTATTTCACTTTATTTTTTGGAGAATCTGGCCTTAGAGGTAAATCTTGATTGATTAAGGACTGGAAAAGTCTAGAATTTGGGATAATAAGCATGAAGGGAAGTTCCTGGTAGCCTGTTACTCTACAAGATTCTTGGGTAGCTGGGATAGAGACAGCATGAAGGTAATGGATAGGTGGGACAATGAGGTTAGAAGATACCTTAAAGGAAGTCAGTCATCCTTATGTAAGATTCTAGCTTATCACCAGTGTTAATTGATTATCTATGTTAATGGAGGGGATCAATGGGACAGGTAATTCAAAATGGCATTCAATCCTAAATCATTTGTACATGAAGATTTGAATGAACAGATATGGCTGATGGGAATTACATTTCTGGGAATTAAAAGGATTCATGCCCAGTATGAGTTAGGCAGCAGTGTATTGATTGCAGGTTTAAATGAAAACTAGAGAAACTGACTGATTTCTCCTGGATACCAGGTCCTTCTTTCTTATGATGGCTTCATTATTTGGTTTGGTTGTGATGCTGTGGACTAGTAGAAAACAATAACTTTAACAAAGTGCTCTCACTAAACCTGTTGGTCTATTAGCAAGCATTTATTAAGCCCTTAGTATATGCTAGGCACTAGAGATATAAAGAAAAAGAATGGAAACAATCTCTAGACTAAAAAGTTTACATTCCAATGGAGAAGACAAAAAATACATATATAAGTGTATAGAGACTAAATACAAAGAAAACAAATACATATAAATACAAAGTAAATAAATAAAAGGCAGTGAACATCCTGAGGAGTCTATGGCCCCAACTCTTCTAGATCTACCTCCTCTTACACATCTTAACATTTAAACAGCCCCCAGCTCTACTTACAACTGGCTGTTGAAGTTTTCCAGCAAGTCTGTTGATCAAACATGGGTATGATTCCACCTTTCTCATCTTTATAATCTCTTAGGGTTACCATTCTACATTTTCCATCCTATTTTCAGGAGTCAGCTTTTCTGATAAGTTTTTAGAAGTCCCCCTTTTGCTACTGGTCTATGCTTGTTCCCTGACATCATCCCATCAGGGCCATGACTGCTGCCTCAGGAGACCATTTGTCTGAAAATCCTACGTAAACCTGGTCCACCAGGAACTCTGAGCCTTCCATTGAAGGGTGTCTTCCTCAGCCCCATCAGTTTTCATCCAGTATGCTCTCTTACTGGATGGTGGGGTTGGGGGAGCTGCATGAAACTCTTTCCCTGACTGGGTTACTGTTCATCTGTCCAAACTTTCCTAGACTGTACATGGCTATATCAACAAACCATTCTAACCCATCTTACTGTTGTTCACTTGAAATCCCCACCTAAATTTGCATGATAACTAGCTGTGGGGAGGAAGGAATATGGTGGGGGGAGGGGAAGGGGAGATCAGGAAAGGCTTCATATAGAAGGTGGTCCTTGAAGGATTTATCTTGAAGGATGAGAGAGATTTGACATAGACAGATTGGGGCCTTTTTAGCCAATGGAAACCTAAGGTGTAAAGCCAAACATATCAGTCCCCAGGCTCATAACCTCAGCCCAAAAGTGGCCACAGGACATGATTTCTAAGACCTATGGGTTCAAACAAAATCGGGTTGAGAAAGTTCACTCTGAGTTAGAGCCACTAAAGGGTAATTATTCTTTGATATAAAGGGCAAAGGATAAGACGAAAGTAGTGAATAACAGTTGATGGCCCAGGGTTTGATAGATACTTATGTAACAGGACTATGACTCTTCTCAGATCACCTAAGATGGGGCATCAGTGTAGGAGATGGCAGGGACCTGCTTCTGGGAGAAGATATTCTTTGTCCCCTTACCACATGAGTGAGAATAGCTGTTTCCATTGGCCATGTAGCCAGAAAAAGTTGTCTTTTTAAACCACCAGACTGGGACAGCCTCTTTCTTTTTCTTGGATGGGGGGTGGGTGTGGTGAAGGTCCTCTTCATTCCCAATATTCATTCACTAATAACTGAGCTGAGTAAAAAGGACTGTCTTCTCCTCATTTCCTTCTCTCCCTTTGGCTCTGAGATATGGGTTTGGGGTTGGGTCTGTTTCACTGGTCTTTTTCAGTTCTAGATGCAGTCCATAGAATCACCAGACCCAGACTTGAGTCATGGTGACCTTGAAGGTTGGATTCTAGACCAGATATAACCGTAAGCCATTCTAGTATGAAATCCCTGAGAAGCCAAGCAGGCCAGTTCTTAGAACTTGGAACTTAGTGGGAATAGGCTGTATAGGAACTGAGTTAAGCTTGAACTTGTCCCTCTCCCTTTCCCACAGACTAAAGTGGTATGGAGGGGAATATGTTACCTGCCCTCAATTGGGAGAAGGGTATTAGTCTATTTCTTCTTGTGGATCTTTGAAATAAATATTCCTTTGTAAAAGCTAATCTAACTGTTAAATAGTTAAATGCAAAGGGTACCTAAAAATGGGAGAACATAATCAATAGGGGCTAGAGCCAATTTCAGGGAGACTTCTTGCTGTTTTTTTTGTGTCAGGGCATAGGGTACATCCAAGGATGACTGCTACTTCTAAAGGAAAGGTTGCAGAGCCCTTTTCAGGGCTGTTTACCCACTTTTGGTGTCTACTTCATTCACCCAACTCTCACCTGTGGCTCCAAGAAGCTTTAACATGCAGAGTGTCCACACCCTGGTAAACTGTTTTAGCAGACAGCCTAATCAGTTTGAAACTAATAGAGGGGTGTCAAAGACTTTGGTTAGTTAGGGGGTGGGAGGTGCCTACCCCAAGCATGCAAATACCTCCCCCCACAGAATGTTGTAGTTGGGAACAATTTGTTGCAATGGCCATGAAAAATGGCTGAGCCAGGCACAGTGGAGTGCTTGAAGCTTGGTTAGACATCAAAGATGCCAAAGTCATCCACTGCATCCTGAGCCCTTACCAGGCATCTTGAATTTTATCTTGCCACTGGACTTTAACGACTCTGAAGCAGAGAGTGAGGCTGATGACTTCAAGCTACTCTGTCTCACTTAAATGCAATGTATTTGGACATCAAAAAACTGGTGTCTGACCACTTCACAATTTTTATCTATTTTTTATTTATTTTTATCTATCTCAAAGTCCTGTGGTGTTAGGCAAGTAATAAAGCATCTGGTGGGGATTCACTGGGAGCTGGAGTCACAACCTTGCACACAGGTGGCCTAGGCCAGAGGATCATCTCACTGGCCTGAAGCAGCGGTGGGAATCAATAGCTCCCTGGCTTTCTGAGCAGTCTTTTTATTCCTTTATTTTATTTTATTTTATTTTTTGTTGTGTGTTTTCTTTTTTGAGCAGCCTTTTTAAAGGACTGCACTGGTGACCTCCTGGCATGAAGTAGGGGATAGAAAAGGTACCTGAAAAATTGTGTGCTTCACCCAACTCTGGCCTGCTTACTGCAGCAGAAGGGGACCCCACCCTGTGGTCAAAACATACAAAAAAATGTACAAAAGCTTTTGCAAAGATGATTCCACTCACCATCAGTACACCAGACCACCTGTATATGAAACCATCAGTTATAGCAAAGGGAGAAATATTGAATGTTGTGGATAACTTTGGAAGTATGCATTCCAGAGATGTACACATAGATAATGAGGCTCATGAAGCATTACCACAGCTAACTCAGTGTTTGGGAGTCTCTGAAGGAAAATGTGGGAGAGAAGGATAGACTACCTACCAAACTGAAGGTCTAGAGATCCACTGTGCTGACTTCATTGTTGTATGTCTGTGCAGCTTGTATACCAGTGCCATGCCAGAAAACTGAATCACTTGTGACCATTTGAATTGTCTCAGGAAGATTCTGAAGATGAGGTACGAAACACTGGGGTCCTTTCACAAACTGGACTGACAAGCTTCCAAATTCTACTGAAGAGAGTGCAACTCTAATGGGCTGACCATATTGTTCAATTGCCAAAGGTACATTTGCTTGGAAGATTATTTTACAGAGAGACCTTGAGAATGTCCTTGTATCACTTCTTCTAACCTCCTATGAGTGCTTGCTTTGTTTAAGTTTGGTGGAGGCTATGGCTCCCCCCTCCCTCCCTTCATATTCCTGGCTCCTCCCCATTTCTCTCATTTCTACTAATCCAAGCCCTTACTCTACTTTGTACCTCTGGAGCAGGCCTGCACAACATTTGGCCCATGTGTCACTTACAGTCTGCCAAAGGATTTTAGGTGGCCATTGAAAAACATAGAGGATGTAAAACAGGCCTGTACAACATACTGCCTGTGGGCCATGTGTTGTGCAGGTCTGCTTTGGGGTCTAAGAATTGTTCTTTTCCCTTTCACAACAACCACAGTCATCTGTCTCTCCCTGGTTTTTCTTCCCTGCAGCTAGAGTGAGAATCCACCCCCCTCACCCCATTCCTTCACTGCTTATCATATCAGGCAACAGAGAAGTGACAACAGGAGGACAGTGGGTATGTGTGTGTGTTCTCTACTCACAAGAAAGTCCCGCCTCCTCCCTCTTCCTGGAGTACTCATGGCACAGAGTAGCTTTCATTTTCTTCTAAGTCACACAGTTTCTCTTTAAAACAGGCTATTAACCAGCAGTCCCTGAGAGAGGAAAAAGAAGGCTGCTGATCCAGGAAAGACAGGAAAAGAACAGCTGACTTTTGTCCTAAACCCCTCTCCACCAAGACCCTCTTCCTTCTGGCAGATTCTATGGTAACTACATTGGGAGGAAACTGGGTACCTGGCAGTAAGTAGAAGACATTTAGTCTTCCCAGGAGAGTAGGAGAAGCAGGCTGGGATCAGGTTGAAAGTGGAGAACATGGGAGTGTCCAGAGCCAAATGGACTCCACCGAGCTATTGTCTGTCAATATATGCATGCGTACGTATGTGTTTGAAACATGAATGGATTTGAAAAGTGACAATTCTTTTAGAAAGAACTCTAGATCAGGGCAATTGCGTGCAGATTGGGAAGATGGCTGCCTGTCTTGTCAGGGTTGTTGAGAAGGATCAAACCTCTCTCCCTATGCATGCATAGCACACCTAGAATCCCTCAAATGGGTCAGAGTCTTTCATTCTACAGAGAAAGCTTGAAATCAAATCTTTCCCAAAGAGAGAACTTGGAACCTTAGTTTACATTGAAGTGTCAAGGGCTATCTGAGACTTCTCTGAGAGCAGTTTCTGATTCTGATTCTGTGGAAGGCTGGAGGTTAAGCATTTAGTTTTGAAAGGAGGATGTGTGTGTGTGTGTGTGTGTGTGTGTGTGTGTGTGTGTGTGTGTGT